TTCTTTGTTTCTTATGTCACCCAATTGTGTTCTTAAAAAAACACCAGTGTTATTTAACTCCCACATAGTTGGTTTTATAAGCTTTATCCTCTTGTGGCTAATTTCCAATTTTATAGCATTGTGATTTGATAAGATACTATGTTGTTTTTTTCAATTTCTTGAGGCTTATTTTGTGTCCCAGTATATGATAAGTTCTTGAAATTGTACCATGTGCATTTGAGAATAACGTAAATTGACTTTTAGTTGGGTGCAGCTTCCTGAATACAACCATAAGGTCCAGTTATTTGATCATATAGTTTAGATTTTCTGCATAAGTTTCTTTTGAGTTGACCTATCCCTTGGTGATAGTGGTGTATTGTTGAGGTGCTATTTCTTTCTTCAGTTCTATTAACCTTTGTTTTAATGTATTTTATAGTCCTATCACTTGGTGCGTAGGGCTTAAGGCAGGAGGGGGCTTTAAGGTTCAAATTGTCGTCCTGTCAAACATTCTTCTAGGTGATATAGCACTGATCTGTGCATTGTTGTACAGAGGTAACTCATGGTTGCTGTGATGCTGAACACTGGGACACTGATGTGCCAAACGTGGTAATGGTTAACCATGGTAGACGGTGTTTGCTGGACCTTTCCATCTCAAACAAGCCTGGAAGCAGGAGTGGCGTCCACTTCCGAAATGACTTGCCTCCAGAAACTCTATGTACGAACAGTGCTCAGGCCTTTTGTTCATAGGGTCACTATGAGTCATCTACGACTCAACAGCACCTAACAACAACAACAACATCACTTTGTGCATGGATGTTGACCAAGGTTATGTCTTCTTGATCTATTGTGCCTTAATCATTATATAATGACCTTCTTTATCTTTTATGATGGTTTTCATTCTGAAGTCTATTTTTTCAGTGATTAGAATTGCCACTTCTGCTTTTCTTGTGGATGCCATTTGTTTAGTATATTTTTCTCCCAGCCTTTGATTTTTAGTCTATCTTTCTCCTTGTTTCTTAGATGTATCTCTTGTAGGCAACTTATTGATGGGCTTTGTTTTTTATCCAACCTGTTACTCTTTTTATCTTAATTGGTCCATTTAGTTCATTCACATTAAATGTGATTATTGACAGGCCAGGTTTATTGTTGCCGTTTTGCTGTGTTTCTTTTTCTGTTGTTTCTTGTTACTATGGCCTATCAATTTTTGTATGGTGTCTGTGTAAAGGATTTCCCATCAAATTTCTTGTATTTTTGGTCTTGTTTTTTACACATTTCTTCTGTTTCTTCTCTTCTACAAATGACCTATTTTCTCCTTCATATCTGATTGACAGCTTTCATGGAGACAGGATCCTTGGTAGTAGTTGTTTTCTCTCAACGTTCTATGTATGCCAGCCCATTGTCTTCATGTTTACATGGTTTCTGCTGATAAATCAGAACTTAATCTCATTGTTTTTTCCTTTGTAGATGCTGTTGTTGTTATGTGCCACTGAGTTGCTTGTGACTCATAGCGACCCTATGTACAACAGCCCTAAACTCTGCTCTGTCCTGTGCCAATCGCACTGTCTCGGATACACCCATTCTGATTACCCCAGTCACTGAATCAATCTACCTCATAAAGGGCCTTCCTCTCCTGTGTTGTCCCTCCACCCTACCAAGCATGATGTCCCTCTCTAAGGACCTGTCCCTCCTTACAACATGTCCAAAGTATGTCAGAGAAAGCCTCAGAATCCTTGCCTACAAGAAGCCACCTGGTTTAAACCTCCCCAGGATGAACCTGTTTGTTTTCTTAGCAGTCCATGGTACATTCAATACTCTTCTCTAGCACCACAGCTCAAAGGCATCAATTCTCTTTCTATCCTCCCTAGTCATTGTCCAACTCTCTGATGCATAACAAGTGATTGCAATGACCCTCGCCTGTATTAGATGCACTTTAGTTTCCAGAGAGACACCACTGATGTTTTGTTTTTCTCTCACTGCTTTTAGGATTCTATTCTTATCTTTTATTTTAGAGAATTTGACTATGATGTGTCTTGATATCTTACTTTTTGGGTCTAGTCTATTTGGTGTTTTCTAAGCTTCCTGAATATAGATTTCTCCATTCTTCATAATACCTGGGAAGTTTCGTTTTAGAACATCTTCCACAATTTTCTCAGAAACTTCCCTGTTCCACTTGTGTTCTGGAATTCCAATCATACATATGTTGTTCCTTTTGATGTCATCCCTCATGATCTGATGTTTTCTTCATTTTCTTATGTCTCATCTCTGATTTTTCTTCTAGTATGTTTCTGCTAAGGTTCTTGTCTTCCAGTTTACTGACTGTTGCATCTCTTCCAGTCTACAGTTTTGTCCCTTCAGCATGTTGGACACTTCTGCCATTTCATTCTTATTATTCTGGATTGCATTTTCATCCATTTCCAGTACTGTGTTGGCTGTACTCTCTCTCTCATGATGATTTTTTAAGTTCTTGAGTGGTGCAAGACCAGGTGCTCCTCTTAAGTGATTTCTTAACAGATCAGGGGTCTTCAAAGGCAGTTCTCTGTCTAGAACCTCAGTGTGCCAACTGAGAGAGAGTGAAGTTCTTCCCTGCTTGTAGCTCCCTGTCCCAAATTCTACTGAACTCTTTGGTCCATGGGATGCCCCACAGCAGAAGGGATCTCAAAGTGGAGAAGCTCATCTAGGAGAGTTTCAAGCCCTTCTTTCCACTGCACCAAGTAGTGATGGTTCTGTGGAATTGTGTCTCACCTGATGACATCTCCTCCCCATAAGCCTATTGTCTTCCTTTGTTTCAGAAGTGGTGTGAGACCAGGCTTGTAAATGTAAGGAGTATTTCTTTTGTCTCTTGTCCTTGCTCTGCTGAGTGGTGCAGTCAGGCTCCTCAACTCTCTTCTTTACTCTCTGTGATGGTTCAGGGGAAGATCTTTGTCTCCACTCTTGTACTAGGTGAAGGTGATGTCTTGACAAGATCTGTGAGGGCCAAAGCTGTAGCAATCAAAGAAATAAATGGCCTGGGAAAGCAGCAGAGAAGATGCAGTCCTTTCCCTGGAAAGGCCTGCTGATTTCTCTGCAGGAGTCCAGCCTCAGATTCCATCAGGTGACTTGGGCTTAGATTGTACCCTACCCATTTCACCCCCCAATACATCTATAGTTTCATTTTAATTATATTCAAATATTGGTCCATTTATTCTGATGAACAATAACAATATCATGTCTAGCTAAAAAATAAAAACTGTTGATTTTCTAAAATTAAATTATGTTGATTTTATGAAAATAAAAACAAAGAAAAAATAAATCTGTTTTGAAGGAAGTGCAACTAGAACATTCCTTCTAAATGAGGATGGTAAAACTTCCTCTCACTTACACTGGGCATATTTTCAGGAGGAACAACCTTTGGAGAGAGACATCATACTGGGAAAGGTAACAGTCTTAACGACAAAAGTCAGGAAATCAAAAGATGAATTGCATTGGGAAAATCTGCTGTCATGGACCTCTCCAGAGTGCTGAAGAGCAATGATGTCAGTTTAGATACAAAGGTGTGCCTAATCCAGGCCATGGTCTTCTCAACTACTTGCTATGCTTCAGAGAATTGGACAATGACTAAGAAAGACAGAAGAAGAATTGATACCTTCAAGTTGTGGTGCTGGAGAAGAGTCTTGAACATACCATGGACGGCCAAGAAAACAAATAGGTCTCTCTTGGAGAAGGTGAAACCAAGTCTTTCCTTGGAGGCTAGCATTTTGAAGCTCTGCGTCACTTACTTTGGGCAAGTGGCTGGGAGAGACTGGTTCTTGGAGAAGGACATCATGCTTGGAAGGGTGGACAGACAGTGCAGGAGAGTAGGACCCCAGATTAGATGGATTGATATAGTAACTGGGGCAAGGGCGGTTGGTGTGTCAGAATTAGTGAGACTGGCTCAGGAACAGGGAAACGTTCAGAACTGCTGTACATAGGGTCGCTATACATTGCAGGCTACTCTATGGCACATAACAACAGTAACATACTATGACAGGTTTGGAAGCAGGAGTGGCATCCACTTCCTTCCTAAACAACATGCCTCCAGAAACTCTATGAACTTTGATAAATGTCGATATTTGTAGAAAGAGCTTCAGGTCTTTTGTTCATAGGGTTGCTATGAGTCGTGCTCAATTCGGAGGCAATCAACAACAATAACAAGCTAAAGAGAAGAAGACTCTGAAGAAGGAGGATTGTGATAGAAGTCAGGAGGATGGTACAGGACAGGGCAAAGTTCAGATCTGTTGTTCACAGGGTCATCGTCACAGGCATGAGTCACAGTCAACTTGATGGCACCTAACAACAACTGTATAAATTAATTTCTAGAGAACTAACAACTTTATGAAGTTCAGTTTTTCTGTTGTAATATTATTATTTGTTTTGCTAATGTGTGTTTAATCTTGGGCATTATCCTAAATACTATTAATCCATTGATCCTTATTACAGCCTTTTGAAGTTCTATTATTAACCTCATTTTTCATTTGAGGAAATTTAGGTGGATCCTACCTTTCCTAGATACAAATAACGTCTTAAATAATCTTTAGTCTTCTTTTTCTTAGACATTTTTATATGAATAAGGCAAACACAATCCTTTCTTCTTGGAGCATACTGTTTGAAGTGGGGCTGGTAAAGAAGTATTAAGGGAAAAGGCAAAGCCAATAAACTAAGTGATTAAGAGGAGGAAATGACCAAACTCTTAGCTGGCCCACCAGTGAATTTTCAGAGGGAGTAAATCACAAGTGAGTTTGCCCATCTTTATTCCACGGAGAAGCTGATGGATTTGAACCTTGGGCCTTTGGATTGACAGTAAAATTCCTTAGTATCTTTAGAACTCTTGGAAAACATATATCTCTACAATGATTTCAATGAAGTAACTTCTCCCTTAACCAAACATATACCCTTTTTTTTGACTAATTTTCCATCCTCTCCAACTACCCCCTCCCCCATTAGAGTGTTATTCATTTCTTACTTGAATAAACAATTTTATGGATTTAAGAATATTTTCTTTCAAGGTTTCATCATCCAAACATACTGGAGTTGACGGCATATTTTACAGAGACTGAGAAATTCTGTCTGGTTTATCCATACATGGTGAACGGATCGCTTTTTGACAGATTACAGTGTGTTGTAAGTTATATCTATTACTCTGCTTAGTTCTCTGCTCTTCTGTAATCTCGGGGGAACTGCTGGAAACCTGAAACAGCTGGGAAGTCCTGGTGTGTTCACCTCAGGGCATAGATAACCATGGGTGAGTTTTCCAAGGAAGTGCAGCACTTCTCTATGAATTAATTTCCTACATTGAAAAGGCTGCATAAACACCTCAGCTATTGTCCTCAATTTTTTTTATTTGCCCAGAATTTTTTATTCTTACATATTATTGGTTCTATAGCTCTAGATAGTTCATACCAACTACTCTTATTTCTTAATATAAAAGAGAATTTGTATTCATGGACTTTATATAAAATATTACTCAGTGAAAATAATATAAAGGTGATAATAACTCCTGAAAGAGAAAGAGATTGAAGAACACCATGATATTCCACAAGTTTTCTTACGTGTGTGTGTGTGTGTGTGTGCGTGTGAAAGTTTATGTACCACAGACATCTCATTTGACAATTTCCATCCAAACTGTTCAATGATGTTAGTTAAATTTTTCACAATATGCCAATATTCTCTTTAAATTGTTTTTGTTTATTCCATTTCCAGGACTCTAGTTATCTGCTTCCCTTATGCTCTTAGTTTTGCTTTAGATTAAATGATGATCTCTTAGACTCTTACATATGATTTTAAAGTAAAGCACCAATACAATGGTAATTTATTTTATGACAATTTATTTTATGTGTTACTCTGCTTTTCTGCTAAGAGGAGACCTGAGGAGATAGTTTGGGCTAAAGGTTCAAGAGTGTCTCAAGGTGGTAGTTTCAGGGACTCCTCTGGTCTCAGGGATTCCAGGTAAAATGACTATTTTTAGGAATTTTAGTCCTACATTTTTCTCTCATTCCATCCCAGATTACCCATTATGATTTTGGTCAGATTGGTCAGTGATGGCAACTGGGCATCACCTAGTTATTCTAACTTCAGGATAGTTAAGGCAATGGCTTGTGTGGTCTCTCGCCTTCATGAGATGTTTTTAAAGGGTAGGTTTAAAAATCAATTCTACATAGAATGTAACAGTAATGATGAGAATAAAAATATTAAATTACACTATATGTGTAAGTAATTAAAAATTCTTATTTACTATATTTCTAGATTTATATTTACCTCATCATATTTTTATAAAGTGAATATTATTTGGTATTTCTCTTGCATTTAAAGAAGTATAGAATCATTTCTGAAAATAGGAGGAAAAAAATTAGCATTAAAAATAGATTGTGGTAACCCAAAATATTGCTTCCCCTGACCCCACCTCTGCCATTATCTGAATCTATTCTAGCTAATAGTAAAATAAAAAAATAGAATGTGCCAGAATGTATATATTACTCTTAAATAAATAAATAAATGTTTCAGAATGTATGTTTATCTCTTTTATAAATAAATACACACATACACACACACATAAAATGTGTCAGGATATATATATTTGGGTACACACACACACACATAAATTTTTTTTCAAACTCAGAAAATGCCGTCAAACCAATGTCTGTTGTCTTTTTAGGGTCAAACAGCCCCACTCTCTTGGAATGTTCGAATCAATATATTAATTGGAACATCCAAAGCCATTCAGTACTTGCACACCACTGAGCCATGTGCTGTCATCTGTGGCAGTATATCAAGGTAAATGCTCTTAGAGGTCTTTATACTTGAAAGTCCCCTTCATCATCACAGGTAAGTCATACCTCACTCTCTTCCCTGTCTGAAACATTCCGGGTATTTATATGCATGTGCATTTAGGATTACCATCTAAAAATTTAACATCTTGCATTCTTGTTAATAATCATAGCTGCCATTTAAAAACTTAAATTTATACAGCCAAAGGGAGCACTTATCTTTAGGATTTCATAACAAACAATGTCTGTTAGATTATCCTAAGTACTTTATTAATGATACCTGATAGCTAAGTCTTTTCATCTCACTTTAAAAAAAATCCAAAACACCAACTGATGTTTAAATGTCATATGAGGATTCCTTTAAAAGTAGTAAAAAGTCATGCCAGCAAGTAAGGTGTCTCAGATGGTTAAGGGATCAGATGTTAACAGGAAAATTGGCAGCACCTAGACTGTAGGGACTTGACTGCTAACTCAATGGATTCGGCTCTCTGGACGTTCACATCCACCAGCTGCTGAAGAAGAAAGATGCGCAGTCTCCTTCAGTGTGACTTGCAGACTTGGAAGCCTACTGGAAGCTCAGCTGGGTGTTGGTTTTGACTAGACAACAATGAGTGACAGTCCACTTATAGGCACCTTGGAAGAAAAGCCTGGCAACCTTTTCCCAAAAATTAACCATTAAAGCCTTAAGGCACATAATTCCCTGACAAACATTGAGTGGTTATTGTAGAGCTGTAGATTTGCACCTTGCTATTGAAAGTCAACCTCAGAGACAAGCCTGGGGTAAGAAGCAAGAGCATCTTTATTTCAGAGAGATGTAGCCTTGGGGTTAGTAGCACAACTCATCATGGATGACACCATCAGCAAGATCCATCTCTCTTCCTGGGTGCTGAAGAGAGGTTTTTAGAAAGAAAAATGCCTTTATTTTTCTGGAATAGCTTTAGATGTTGGTTATTTTTTAAGTATGATACCACTTCCTTCATGGTGACCAGTGTCATTCTGAGGATTTCTGGCTCCATCCTGTGTGTGACAGGGGGATCCTCACTGTTCAGTTTTAGGACAAAGATTAATATTGAAGTTAACTTTTAACTTTAAATCAAAGAAGCAAGCAGGAAACAAAGCTCTTAGTAAAGACTTCAGTTTATAAAACAGCAATTCTAAAACTAATTTTTAAACATTTCTCCCAATTAATCTTGTATTATTATACTCAGAAGCCACAGTGTTACTATGAGCCAGAATTAATGGCAATGTTTTGTTAAAGCAGCAATTGAAATTCTTAGTTGTTGGGTTTCCAGGGTTTTACTGATGTAACTGATCCAACCACTGTGTAGCTTCTTATGTTATATGTCACAAACTGAATGGGTTTCCTGTGCTCATTTTTTATACAGGAGAATATTAAAGCAAAGTGTTAAATTGGTTTTTCTGCTTCAGTAGACATAATGAAGAGAGAGTATGAATTCTGTAGCAAAGCCTGACTTGGTGACTTTTTCCTGTGTGCCTGCCATTTTATCTTGACTGTCCAAAAAGTAAATATGGCATTGCTGACTAGCAGGGAAGAGTGTATTTAAAGGTTATCTCTTCTAAAGTATCTCTTTGTCATTGTTGTTATATACCATTGAGTGGGAACCGACTCATAGCTGACCTGCCATTGGGTTTTCAGAGACAGTAAATTGCAAGGAAGGAGATCGCCCAACTTTTTCTTATGGAGCAGATGGTGGATTTAAACCACATGCCTTTGGGTTGGCAGTGCAGCTCCTAATCTTGAAAAAGGCCTTTCATATGCCTTTAACATGAATGGACAATAAGCTGCTTTCTTATGTGTTTGTTTACTTTTCTGGTGAAGTTAACTCTATATAAAGACTAAATTTTCACATAATCTTGGGAAATGGACAGGTCTACCTACAGATAGCTGCTCCTGTTGCAGTGTGGTAATACATCAACTGCTGCATCTTTCCAAGACCTGAGGCAGTATGAGACAGTGAATACCTCAAGGGCCTTTGGAGTCACCCAGTAGATGCTTAAATGGCAACCCCGAAGCTAACACAACTCCTATCTACCTATTTAACATAATATTTGGAATTTTGCCATCTATATTTGCTCTGGATTTACTTTCCCCAAGCATCTCTGTGTCCAGTATATTTGCTCTTTTGGCAGTCCATGATATATGTAATATTCTTTGCCAACACCACAATTCAAAGTCTTCAGTCTTGCTTATTCATTGTCCAACATTCAGATGGTTATGGATCTGATGCTTAAGGAACAATTTAAATTATCATGGCTCAGATAAGTCACATCTTGGTCTTTAAACAAACATCCTTTCTCTTTAGCATTTTCAAGAGGTCCTCGACAGTAGAGTTTTCCAATGCAATACACTTTTTAATTTCTTAACTACTGGTTATTATTTATGGATGTTGACTATATATCCAAATAAAATGACATAGTTCATAGCTTAAATCTTTTCTCCATCTATCATGGTGTGTATCTCTTGGTCCAGTGGTGAAGATTTTTGTTCTCTTGATATTGATGTGTAATCAATATTGAAGGCTATATAGTTTTTGATCTGCTTGGTAGATGTTTTAAGTCTTCTTCACTTTCTGCAAGCAAGGCTGTGTTGTCATATGTATAACATAAGTTGTTCAGGAGTCGTCCTTCAAACTTAATCCCTTATTTTTCCTTATAGTTCTGTTGTGCTGGAGAAGGATGGAAAGTCTCTTCCTGTATAATTTACTGCTTCTGGAAACCCTCTGGAAAGTCAGCTCTGGGTTGGTTCTGACTTGATCAACAAAATTTGTTGTATGTTGTTGAGTTGGAACTGACCTGTAGCTGATGCTCCAGGGGCTTGCAGAGGCAGTAAATCACATGAGAGGAGATTTCCCCTCCTTCTCCCACAGAGAAGCGGATGTATTTGGACTGCATGCCTTTGAAATTGATTGCAGTGCAGCTTCTTACCATTTGGTAACCAGAGCTTCGTGACTTATTTGTTCAGCCGAAAGAACAAATCTTTCTTGGAGTAAGTTTGTCTCAGCATACTTGGGCAATTTGTTAAGAGGGATCACTTCTTGGAAATAGACATCAAGCTGAGAAAGGTAGATGATCAATGAAAGAGAGGAAGACGTCAAAGAAAAGGATTTAAACAACTATAATGGACTTCAGAATAGTGGTTGTTGTTGTTGTTTGATGCTGTAGAGTCGTAGAAGACTCATAGCAATCCTATAAACGAACGGCCTGAGCACTGTTCGTACATAGACTTTCCGGAGGCAAGCCATTTCAGAAGTGGATGCCACTCCTGCTTCCAGGCTTTATTTAGTTGGGAAGCTCCAGCCATCACTGTCGACCATGGGTACCCATTACCAGGAATGGCACATCACTGTCACAGTCTTCAGCATCACAGCAACGCACAGACCAGTGCTATACCACCTAGAAGAATGTTTGACAGGAAAACAATTTGAACCTGACTGAGGGCCACAGATGAAAATCACCCACCTTCGGCTTGGTAGCTCTCTCTTTGTCATCGTCATTATTATTGTTGTTTGAAGCAGTGGCCTCAAAAAGCTTGCCACGATTCCTGCACTCACACCACCATGCTCATTCCTTCTGGAAAGGAAAACTTCCCAAGACCCTGGGAGGAGCCAACCAGGAACAACATGGCTGCTTCCTCTTCTCTCCCAGCTTCCTTTGGGCTTAAGGTCACCTCCTGGTTCAAACCCTAGGTCCAGGCTGGCTAGCCTCACTCCTGGGGACAGAGCAAACCTGTACGTCAAACACATGCCTGGAAAAGCAGTTGACTCCAAAAGCTCGCCACGATTCCTGTGCTCACACCACCATGCTCCTTCCTTCTGTCAAGGAGAACTTCCCAAGACCCTGGGAGGAGCCAACCTCACAATAGTGGAGATGGTGAAAATGGTGCAGGATAGGGCAAGATTCTAGTCTTTTATTCATGGTGTTGCTTTGAATGACAGTAGTCTCAATGGCACTTATAACAATGATAAAAAAAATGTATGTTAGAGTCCTAAACTCTCTATCTACAGATGTAATCCTTTTTGAGAATGTAGTTTTTGCTGTAATGCTAATGAAACCCTATCAGTATAGGATGTGTCTTAAACCCTGCTGAGTTAAACAGAACAACACAGACACAAAGAGTCCAGAGCACAAACTAGTACAGAAGACACATGTGTGAGGATTAAAAAAACTTGAATACTGGGGTTTCTGAAGCTGAGGCGAGGATACCAGAAGGATAGCCTTCCAGTGTATATGGTGCCTTGACTTTGGGGTTCTAGCCTTCTGAAGTTGAGAAAACAATTTTCTGTTCTTTTTTTTAATTTTTTTATTAATTTCAATGAACATTTACAGAGATTTTGGATTTCCATTCATTCACTGTTGCACTTTTCTCCCTGACACCCCCCGCCCAGTCCACTCTTCTTGAAAAGCAAAAGAAAAACTCCTTCTTTGGTATACAATCCCCCCACACCCACACCCCAAGTATACTCCACTCTGCAACCTTCATTCTGGACTCTTATGATAATCATAATGCCCTAAAATATATTACTTTTAAACTGTTCTCTCCCTCATCAGCTTCAATGCAGTATATATAATTTATCTAGTTTTTCTCCGTCTTACCTCCACCCTGATGTCAGCCTCATTCTACAACAGTGGCACCGTACAGTATTTGTCCTTTTGTGACTGAGATATTTCACTCAGCATAATGTCCTCCAGGGTCACCCATTTTGAATAATATTGCATGAGTTTCTTGTTTTCCAATTCAGCATAGTATGTTATTGTGTGAATATACCACAGCTTCTCTATCCATTCATTTGCTGATGGGTACTTAGGTTGTTTCCAACTCCTAGCTATTGTGAACAAAGCCACGATAAACATGAGTGTACATATATCTGCTTGGATGTCAGTTATGGTCTCTTTGGGGTATATTCCCAATTTTCTTTAAAACCACCTATTTGTGGTGTGTCTGCTACACCAAAACTAGGCAACTAAGACAATCTCTTCTATTTGGTT